CACACACACCCAGAGTTGTGGTCAGTGAACAGAAAAACAATCCCCGCTCTGACCAGCCAAGCCTGAGCTTCCTGAAGAGGGATGGAGCAACGCTCCGAAACTCTGGATCGATCCGACTCAGTCAAGCTCCGATGCTCAGTGTGTGTGTGTGTGTGTGTCAGAGAAACAGAGACCTGCTGTGTCTCCTTTCTCTCAAACTTCATCCAGTTTTCAGGATTTCTGCCTCGTCTGAATGCATCCACTGCTCTTCCCCTCCTCAGCTGACATGAACTTCAGTCACCAGGCGACGAATCCGACTTCTTCTCTGCAGCCTGAACGGCCCGTTCCGATCGTTTCATCCAAAGAAATCCAGTCTGTCCCGCTTCCCTTTGTGGAACTACAACATGGTATCCAACAGTTGTCAAACGGTCATATCACATCTTATCTGATGTTTTCATCAGTGTGAGAAATGTGTCATAATTCTGCAGCAGACGGTAAATCTGGACGTAAATGATGTCTGATAATAACGAAGAGGTGAAAGAAGTCAGTCGACGCATCACATCCCAACCAACCGCTCCGGGTCCAACTCCACATCCAAACAGAACCGGGTCAGAACCGGGTCAGAGGCTGCAGCTCCACTAAAGGCTGTTGCTGTTGGCGGTTAGCTTTCTATCAGCTGCCTTCATCTGCTGACCGTGCCGTCGCTCTCAGCGACTTTACAATCCATCCAGAGACGGCGGCCATCTTTACAACCGTAAACAGAGCGCTGCGGCGGCCATCTTTACAACCGTAAACAGAGCACTGTGGCGGCCATCTTTACAACCGTAAACAGAGCGCTGCGGCGGCCATCTTTACAACCGTAAACAGAGCGCTGCGGCGGCCATCTTTATGACCTTAGACAAAGCGCTGCTGGGGGCCATCTTTGTTCTTCTTCTTGGGTGGCTTTGGGAACAGAAACCATTCAGAAGAATATCTGATTTCAGCCAAAAAAAGCATCATAACTTGTTCCTCCAACAGTTTTGACAGAAGTTGTACAATCTTTAGTTCTCTTTTAGGATAAAAAGGTAAAATAAAGTTTCATGCTCTGGTGCCAACAAATCAGATTTGTTAAAGTTTCAGTATTCCAAAATACTTGCTTAATGTTGTGACGGACATTTTCTTGCAAGCATCATTGAAATGCTTACTCTGATCTTTATTGAAGATTATTCAATAAAGATTTATTGATTGTAGTATAATTTACTCATATTTATAAAGTCATTGTAACAGGAAATATTAGAATAGATCTTATTTATTCTAATCAGATACATAATCATTTCATTAGATGCTCTTATTGAAGAAAATTAATTGTAAACTTTTTACAAAACTGTTTTTTCTGGAGAATCTTATTTTAATCTTATAGAAATTATTTATAGGAGGCTTATTTCTGCTTCTCTGCAGCAAGACGGATGGTTGGATGGATGGATGGTTGGTTGGATGGATGGATGGATGGATGGATGGTTGGCTGGATGGATGGATGGATGGATGGTTGGTTGGATGGATGGATGGATGGATGGATGGATGGATGGTGGGATGGATGGATGGATGGATGGACGGACGGTTGGTTGGATGGATGGTGGGATGGATGGATGGATGGTTGGCTGGATGGATGGATGGTTGGATGGATGGATGGATGGTTAGATGGATGGATGGATGATGGTTGGATGGTGGGATGGATGGATGGATGGTTGGATGGATGGACGGACGGTTGGTTGGATGGATGGTTGGATGGATGGATGGACGGGGATCCGTTGAGCCTACCTCCTCCAGATGAGAAGCCCCGCCCCCATGGACAACAGCATGATGAGCGCAGCCACCGACACGATGACGATGATCACCACTGGGTTCTGTTCGCTGGACGCCAGGGCTACTAGAACCAGTCAGAACACACAGAACCGGTCAGAACCAGTCAAACCATGCACTCTGCTGAAGTCAAACACGGCTTAAAGTTTGTCTTCCAGACAATTTCTAAAACATAAATATCAATAATCGATTAATCATGAACAATCCGATTAATCGTTTCAGCCCAACGATTATAACACATCTGGAGATTGATGGAAGGAGAAACGGGCATCACAGTAATAATGATGGTCAGAACTGGAGTTGTAGTTTACAGGACAGTTTTTCACATTTATCCACACTAGATTCACCACAGGCAGCTTTTAAATCCCTCTGTGTGGTGCCGGGCCGATAGGTCTCCATGCTGGTTTCTGTAAAACCTTTTTAATAAAATACGTTTTGATTTTGGCTGAGTAGAACGTGAGGACTCACACTCGCCCAGAGTCTGCAGCTCCAGCGGCGCGCTGAACGCTCCGTAGTCAATGGGAGGAGGAGCGGAAGAGGAGGAGGAAGAAGAGGAGGCAGATGTAGAAGAGGTCGATGAGAGAGGAGAAGACGACAAGGACGAGGACGGAGCCGGAGTCAAGAAGGGACGGATGAGGAAGACGTAGGTGGTTCCAGGTTTCAGGTTGTTGACGATAATCCGAGTGGCGGCCGTCTTCACCGTGGAATAACTCTGGTCCTTCTGGTCCTGAAGGGACAGGGGGACAGTATGAGGACATGATGGAGGGACAGGGGGACAGCATGAGGACATGATGGAGGGACAGGGGGACAGTATGAGGACATGATGGAGGGACAGGGGGACAGCATGAGGACATGATGGAGGGACAGAACAGATTTTTTTGTATTTTTTAATCCAGAGGTTCAGTTTGGTTCTGGTCGGATCCAGAGGTTCAGTTTGGTTCTGGTCGGGTCCAGAGGTTCAGTTTGGGTCGGGTCCAGAGGTTCAGTTTGGGTCGGGTCGGTTACCTTCTCGTAGTACTTGACCTCGTACTCGGTGTGGCTGCTGTTTGGGTTCGGCGGTTCCCTCCACACCAGCGTGACGCTCTTCTCCTCGACCTTCTCCGCTCGCAGCTCGCTGATCAGAGACGGAGCTGCAGAAGAAGAGGAGTGGATCAGAACCACCAGCTGGGCCCAGAGTACCTGTGAGGTTCTAGTGTCGGACCCGGCCCGTTCCACCACATAAGCCAGAATGTTCTGAACTAAGCTAAACGAGCAGCTAATGACGCCGCTCACAGCAAACAACCTGATTACAGATGGCAACGCAACAGGATGCAACTCACAAGCTCCGCCCCCACAAGCTCCACCCAACCCCAAAGCTCCGCCCCAACCCCAAAGCCCCGCCCCTCCCAACCCCGAAGCTCCGCCCCTCGCAAGCTCTGTCCCAACCCCAAAGCTCCAATTTCTGTAACATAGTTACTGGATTGTGTTATTAAAATACTGTAAGTGTGTTACAGTACGATACCGTGTCTAACAATTCTCTGGGTTCCTACTGGTTTAAACCAGGCCGTCTCCCTGACTCTGGGCTCAGCTCTCAGTCGGATCAGAACCGACCCGCATCGCTGTCTCCTTACCAGAGCAGACAGTCATACGTAGTAGTAGATCCCCCCCTCCCCGCTGCACTCAGGGGACCCAGCGGTTCCCTGATGGGGGCTGGAGGAAACTTCCCTGTTCCACACACACACACACACACACACACACACACACACACACACACACACACACAACTGCCACAGAGTGTGAAGAAGAGATGGGGAGGAGTGCGAGAGAATTAGGTGGCAGTGATTGAGAGCAGTGTGTGTGCGTTTGTTTGTAATACCTTGTGGGGACAATTTTCCTGACATATACTACGTTGTGGGGACCGGAGC